GTAGCTGAGGTACATGAGCAGCATGGTCTCCAGGAAGCTGATCATGGCCACGATGACCTGAAGACAGGAAAGAGTCGTCGTCTTCATGTGGGTGGGGGCGGGGCAGGGTCTCAGCAGGCGGTGGGGGGTGTGTGTGTGTGAGGGTGTGTGTCTGGCCCTTGCTCCAGCATCAGCACTTGGCCTGAGGTGGCCAAGACCTGGAGCTGAGCCACCCGGGGCCGAGCCCTGACGCGAACCCCGGGACCTCCACTCCTCAAGGGTGCCAAGGCCAGGCCTGCTCTAGGCCCTGGGGATGTGGAGATTGATTGTAGATCAACACAGGACACCCGCCCTGTGACTCCAGGGAGACAGAACTCGCTGCAGCCCGGCCGCCCTCACTCACCTGGGCGGCCCACAGAGCCATCTTCCTGTCCACCCACAGGATGGGGGCCCTGGGGGAGGAGCAGAGGGGTGAGCTGGACCTCGGGGCGCCCTGGTCCTTCGTAAAAAGTATTATGAACTGAACTTCGGTTAAGGATAATGGACAAAATCTGGGAATGGTGATGTTTGAACATGATGAACATATTTAACTTCACTGAACTGTACGTGTGAAGAATGTAGAAATGGCAAATATTTTGTTACCTATATGTTTACCACAATAAAAAAAATGCAAAAAAAGAAAAAGAAAATATTATGATCCAGAAAAGTGCCTGAATTCATGGGACTGGCTTCCTCCCGCATCTTCCCTCCCCACCCACAGCCTGCGAGGCTGAAGCCACACGGCTCTGCTCAGGAAGGTGACTGCCAGGCCAAGCAGCTTGGAGTGACCAACTTGTGGGCTGACAATTGCTATAATTCTTTTAGTTGCTCCCTCGGGGCCCTCAAGGTTGCATGCAGAAGGGGACAGCCCTAGCCAGGGCTGACCATTCACAGCCACCATCCAGGGGCACAGCTGAACATGTCCTCAGGGAGGTCAGGGGTGCAGGCATGACCCCTTGCCCTGGGGGTGTACAGGCTGGGGCTGGGGATCCATTCCTGATGAACTGCGAGGTGTAAACTCCTGCCCACCCACCGCACCCAGCGAACTCACCAATAGAACTCGGAGGACGATCCATTGAAGGTGTAGATTTGCTTGGGACAGCCCCAGCTGTGAAGAGACAGAGGGGCTGGCACTGCCACTCTGGGAGGGATGCTGCCAGGGGTGTCAGTGCTGAGGAGGGTGGGAGGGGACATCACTTGCCCAACCAGGGCCAACCCTGCATCTCTGATGGGTGTCTGTGCTCTAACACTGCTGCAGAGGCAGCCTGCATCCACCCTGCAGAGACCCCTGCAGGGAAGGTCCCTGAGTGAGGAGCGGTGGGGTGTGGGGCTCTGCTCCACTGGCAGGCAGAAGGATGAGCACACACCCAAGTCTGGGGGATCTGGAGTCCGACAGCGGGAGGCAGGTGGTCAAGCAGGAGCTGGGGAGCGCTGCCCTATGAGGACAGGCCCCAGGGAAGGGCTGAGCGCCACAGCCAGAGACAGACATGGAGAAACACAGGGCCTCCTGCAAGGCCAGGGGATGCCTCAAACAAGGCTGGACAAAGTGCATGGGGCAGGGAGAGAGAGAGTCGAGCTCCTGCCCCTTTGGCACCAACTTGAAGAGTCACATCACTAAGTCACTCTCAAGGACAAACCTCTCCAAGCCACTAGGAAGCCTGGCTGAGGATAAGGAGACAGGGGCACAGACAACATGCCGATGACAGTATCAGACTGTAACCCACACCAGGGTCGCTGACCAGGGAGACCCCCCCGCTCACAGCCCCACAGGGATGGGCAGCTTCCTCCTCCCTTTTCTTTCGACCAGTGAACTTCCCCCTGAGCCTTATTGGGACTGTAACTGCAACCTGATGCCCAAAAGGCATGGCTGGTCATCTTCCTATCCTTCCATTCATGTACCCATTCATTCATCCATTCTTCTACCCATTTGATCATCTGTTCATTCATCCATCCATCCATCCATCCGTTCATCCATCCATCCATCTGTCCATTCAACCACCCATTCATCCATTTCACCATCCACCTATCTTTCCTTCCATCCATCCGTCCACCTGCTACCCACCCATCTATCCATTTATCTTCCTACCAATCCTCCTCTCATCCAACACGCATCTGCATATCCATCCTCCCTCTCATTCATCCATCCAGTCAAGAGTGTTCTAAGCAATGAACGATCTGAAAATGAAATTAAGAAAACTATTCATTTTACAATAACATCTAAAATAATAAAAGACATAGGAATAAATTTAATCAAGGAGGTGAAAGACCATTACACTACAAACTATAAAACATTGCTAAAAGAAAACCAAACCAACCAAACCCATTGCCACTGAGTTGATTCCAACTCATAGTGACCCTGTAGGACAGAGTAGAACTGCCCCCATAGGGTTTCCAAGGCTGTAATCTTTACGAAGACTGCCGCAACTTTCTTCTACGGAATGGCTATTGGGTTTGAACTGCCAACCTTTCAGTTAGCAGCTGAGCACTTTAACCACTGTGCCACCAGATTTCCTTGAAAGAAACTAAAGGAGATTTAAATAAGTGAAAAGGCATCCCAGGTTCATGGATTGGAAGACAATTCTACCCAAAGTAACCTACAGATACAATGAAATTTTTTATTAAAATGAAAATTCCAACAGCTTTTTTTTTTTTGTTGCAGAAATGGAAAAGCTGATCCTCAAATTTATATGCAGTTGCAAGGGGCCCAAAGTAGACAAAACAGTCTTGGTGGGGGAATAGTAAGAGGACTCATACTCCTGAATTCAAAATGTATTACAAAGCTAAAGTAATCAAAACAGTATGGTACTGGTATAAGGATAGACATAGAGACCAATGGAATAGAATTGAAAATCCAGAAATAAACCCATACATTTATGATCAACTGATTTTTGATAAGGGTGCCGAAATACATACAACGGGGAAAGAACAGTCTCTTCAACAAATCGTGCTGGGACAACTGGATCTCCACACGCAAAAGAATGAAGTTGGACCCTAGCTCACACAACGCACAAAAACTAATCAAAAATGAATCAATGACCTAACTCTAAGAAAAGAAAAAACCATATAACTCTTAAAAGAAAACATACGGGTAAAGTTTCAGGACCTTCTTTGAGTCAATGGATTCTTAGATATGACACCAAAATCATGAGCAACAAGATTAAAAATAGACAAACCAGACTTACTCAAAATTGAAAACTTTTGGCATCAAGAGACATTACCAAGTAAGTGACAAGACAACCTACAGAACTGGAGAAAATATTTTGAAACCACATATCAGATAAGGTTTAATATACAGAATATATGAAGAATTATTAAAAGTCAACAACAAAAAGACTAACAACCCAATTAAAAAATGAGCAAAAGACTTGAATAGACATTTATCCATAGAAGATATACAAATGACCAATAAGCACCTGAAAAGATGCTCAACATCGTTAGTCATTAAAAACAAAACAAAACGAAACCTGTTGTCACTGAGTCGATTCTAACTCATAGCGATCCTATAGGACAGAGCTGAACTGCCCATAAGGTTTCCAAGGATCGGCTGGTGGATTCAAACTGTTGACCTTTTAGTTAGCAGCTAAGCTCTTATAGAGAAATGTAAATCAAAAGCACAATGAGATACTACTTTACATCACTCGGTTGGCTATTATAAAGAAAAGAAAAGAAAAATAACAAGTATTGGCGAGGATGTGGAGAGATTGGAACACTCATACCTTGCTGGTGGGAATGTAGAATGGTGCAGGTGCTGTGGAAAACAGTTTGGCAATTTTTCAAAAATTTAAACAGAATTGTGACCCAGCAATTCCACTCCTGGGTGTGTCCCTAAAAAACTTGAACGCGGGGACTCAAACAGATACTTGTACACCGATGTTCAGTATTCACACTAGCCAAAGGGTGGAAACAATCCAAGTGCCCACCAATGGATGAATGGATAAATAAAATGTGGCATATATGTACAATGAAACATTATCCAGCCATAAAAAGAAATGAAATTCTGATACACGCTACAACACGGATGAACCTTGAAAACACGCTGAGTGAAATAAGCCAGACCCAAAAGGACAAATATTTAATGATCCCACTTACGTGAAATATCGAGAATAGGTAAATCCATGGATAGAAAAAGGTCAGTGCTTATCAGGGGGTGGGGGGCGAGGGCAATGGGGAGACAAAAAAATGTTCAAAGTACCACTGTTTGTTTTGGTCAAAGACTGGAAACAACTCAAGCATCTATATATAATAGAATAGTGAGGTGGGGTGCAGAACTCAAATTCTAGTAAGAAGACCAGACTTAACGGTCTGACTGAGACTGGAGGTACCCCGGAAAGCACGGTCCCCGGATTCTCTATCAGCCCAGAACTAAAACAATTTCCAAGGCCAACTCTTCAGACAGAGATTGGACTGGACTGTGGGACATAAAGTGATACTCGTGAGGAGTGTGCCTCTTAGCTCAAGTAGATACAAGAGACTAAATGGGCAGCTTCTGTCCGGAGGTGAGACGGGAAGGCAGAGACGGTTAGGAGCTGGATGAATGGACATGGGAAATCAGGGGTGGAAAGGAGGAGTGTGCTGTCACAGTATGGGGCGAGCAATTAGAGTCACATTAACAATGTATGTATAAATTTTTGTATGGGAAAAAATAATAATAAAAAAAAAAAACTTCCAGAAAGGGGAAACAATTGCCCTGAGATAATCTTGATTATCCCCTGAAGTCCTATTAAAACCAAACAGCAGTTTAGCCTAACTAGTAAAAAATGTCTGCCTTGAGCATTGCGCTCTTTGAAGATCTATTTATATGGGATCAATTTGACAATAGCGACTTGAAAGATCAGATAGGAACCTTAAGGGGCAGTGAGTTTATGGTAATGGAGGAGGAACAACTCAGAAAAGGAGGGTGAGAATTGGTGCACAACTCCAAGAATGTCATCAATGTCACTAAATTGTACATGCAGAAGTTGTTGAATTGGTGTATGTTCTGTGTATGTTCTTAAGAACAAATAAATAAATAAAATTATTAAAAAAAATAGTGAGAGGAATTGAGAGACAATCATACAATGGAGTCCTATAGCAAAGGGAATTTGAATGACATCCACATGCAACCACACTGATGATGTTTATGAATGAACATTTAAGCTAAATATGCGAGAAACAAAATGATCCCTACTGTATGGTTCATTTATATGAAGTTCTAAAGCAACTGTCTTGTTTAAGAATACTACACAGGTGTTATGTTTATCTGCAAAGGCGGGATGAAAGACAACCCCAAATGTCAGTGTAGTGATTTCCCATGGAGGAAAGAGTTGAACAGGATGGGAAACCAATAGGGGGCTCTGAGAAAAAAAGTTCTTTAAAAATCACAGAAGGGTCTTCCAGCAAAATGGCACTTTAGGCAGAAGCACCACGCCGTCCCTCCAAAGCAAAGATCCGAAAAACTAAGCCAAACAGAGAAAACAGCAATCCTGAAACCCTAAAACATCAAATGAAGGGATAAAGAACTCAGCCAAGCACCAAATGGAGTGAGAAAACTGACAGAGAACAGAGAGCGAGGACAGGTTCATACACAGGTCTCCTAGCAGCTAACACAGCGTGGATCCGCCACCTTGGACTCCTATCAGAGACCAGCAAATGGGGGTACGAGAAAGCAGCTTCATGGAGCTTCCAGAGGGAGACAAAAGAACCGGTAATTTGCAATATATGCTTTCCCACCCCCCACTCTTCTTCACCCCTACTCAGCCTCCTCTGCTGGCCACAGTCTCTTGCCTGGGAAGCACTGGCTGCTTGGATTCCCCCCGCCCACACTGGCCAGCTCCCTGAGTGCCATTTGTTGGCTGCTGGTGTTGCTTTTTCCCTCTTCTTTTGATTTCTTCCTTACCTCTCACCACCTCCCCCTCCTTTCGCTCAAATACCTGGCTCCATGCGCCATCTTTGCTTCTTCCTGAGGGGCTGCGGAGCTCCGTTTGAGTGTGGAACTGCTTCCCTGTCTGGGCTGCCACGCTGGTGGGATCCTGGGGCTTTTGTTCATTTGTTGGTTTTGAATTGTTTCTTTGTTTTCTTCTCCTTTTCTCGAGCTGGGAGCCCGTTCTGGCTGGGCAGTGCTGCGCGGCTTGGGACCTATCCCCTCGGCTTGAGCAGATGCACAGAGGGATCCCTGAGGGCATTTGTTTTTTCATGGTTTTTTTTTTTCTGTTTTTTTGGGGGCGTTTCTAGTTCTTTTTTTTTTTTAAATTTGTTTTGTTTTCTTTTCCCTCTTTTTCCCTTTTTGTCTTTCTTCATTACTCAGTTTCT